CTATGAAGGTGGTTATTTTGACGAACATGTTTATAATTGCGATGAAACTGGTTTATTTTGGAAGCTGTTATCGTCGAAGTCGCAAGCAACAGCAAGCGGCCTACATAAAATCAGACACAAACAAAATAATCAACGCAATGTTTACAGCAAACTTAATCATGATTTTATTCGAATACTGCCTGACACATGTGATGATACATCAATTAACTAAACCGAGGGTTTATATGTGCTTTTTATATGTTTTTCAATGCACGACCTCCCTCTTTCACGACGTCCCTCGGTAAGTCGCGGCCCTCGATAAGTCGCGGTTTTTGCTTGGATCCCAACACCCGCGACTTAGCGAGGGGCCACTGTATTCCAAACAAACCACTATGAACATAATCAACCAAAAATACTTGATCTAACTGGCAACAAAAGCAATATGAACAAAACATGCAACATATTTGCTCTATTTGCTCTCCAATAAAATGTGAACCAAAAGTTACATGTATTGTATACAAGATCTTAACTGTACTAGCAGTGAAATATTATATTGAATTGGTAATCATGAAGAGAATACTTACCTGTGTCTTCTTGTTTCAATAACAAATTAATACAATCAATATGTCCTTTTGATGCTGCATGATGTAATGGTCTCCATCCTCTGTTATCTGCTATATCAACACATTTACCATGTTTGATCAGTTTAGCTAGTGTTTTAACATTACCAATCCTTGCTGCCTGGGCAACAGTAGATACAGTATCATCATAAAACTCTGTAAAATCCATTATGGAGTGTCATCTACTGAGAGATACATGTATAAGGATGGGATGTAAATATGTGTGGATAAAACAACATACAAACATTGATCATAATTTGCAGCCGAAATGTTAGAAGAATGTTTCAGTATTATGATACCTGAATATACATGTATGTTTTTTTCAATTTTTTTTTTAGGATGGTATAGTTATAAAGTATAATTCCCTTTCTTCCCCTAAGACTGTAAGTAAATTTATTGTTTTATTCGGTAGTATTGTAGGTTACATCAGGTCTTTTAGCACAATAGAAAACAGGTAATTAATTTGTGTTATTTCAGTTTAGTGTAGGATACAGCACATCTCGCATATACAAACAGTCTACTATCACACAGTACTGAACTAATTATGATGTCAATGACCACCCAGTTATAGTTGCAACAGTGCTGATTTTCAATGATCAGCACAATTTGAAATTTGATCATTACATCTTTTAATTGGTCAATGACCCAATGAAGTTCAAAAATGTAACAATCAAATTAACACACGTACCAGCATGTTTTTGTAATTAACCTATTTTATCCTTGTTCAATTCCTCTTCTGTAATAAAACGCATCGTAGTTGCTATCACCACAGTCCCTCTATCTGTGCTATCACCCATGTAGCCTGCACACGCATTATGGGTGGAGACAATGTTGAGCTTTTGAAACCAATCACTATGAAATATTTGAATGAAAGCTTAGGGCTTTTATTTCCAAATTTTTAGAAATACGTTTACAAACTACAGCTTTCTGCCGTTCACTGTATATTTGTCTCATTTTATATACCAGTAATGTATAATATGTTATTTGACAATAGATTATTTTTGCATATGCATTAATATCACTTGAGATTGGGAAATAATTGAAAATATTTACCCATAAACCGCAGTAGATGCCAATAAACACCAAGTAAATATACAACACCGAAGTTTCAAAATTTCTTCTGCAACTGTGACCTAAGGTGAAAGGTTAAAGAGACCCTCTAACTGATTAGTAAGAATTTATTTCACCAATTTGTTTATTTCCGGGTAGTTTTCAACTGCATTGATGACAAATCTAATTGTGACATTTAAAATAATTAAATATCAACATGAGTCACACGTAAAGTGACTTAAAGGGTCGCTTCAAAATGTTGCCGTGGGTTATTTTAAGCCTACCTAGCATTCTAGCAAGGAGTTCGCTGGGTCACGAGAGCATGACGGGATACGCCATTTTGTACGCACTGTTCACGTTTTCTTGTTTTTGAAGTTTTGGTTATACTGCGACTCATTCTACTCTAACATTGTATAAGGTACGTTTAAACGTTCAAGATTTGGTTGATGTGACAAACGACTTTTCCTTGTTAACTTTATCAACTGTGTTGATAATTGGATCTCCTAATAACATAAAAATGACCGATTACCAAAATGATCCATGCGCTGCATTGAAGT